AACATAATTTGCTGATGTTATCATTATCAGTTTTCACTCCCAGATGTTTATACGTAATGTTTCCAACCCCCAAAGACAAAGATCAGATTTATAAACATGCAATAAAAGACAATAATAATGAAAGTAAGGGGAAAAAATGTATTTGACTTACATCAAAACCAACTGACAACAGAGTTGTTGGAACAGAACCCTGTCTTAAATCAGGGACTACCTACAGATAATTCTCCTAAAGTTAGGTGTAAGGGGAAAGAATAATCAGATAATAGCTGGAAGGGAAAAGGGGGTTCTCCCATTTCCTTTTTTTAAAATGGTAGATTGCAGTATTTAAATACTAATGGAAAGTGTCTTAGTTCTCTAGTGCTGCTGTAACACAATACCACAAATGAGTGGCTTTAACAAACAAATTTATTAAACAGTTTGTTGTTGTTGTTGTTATGTGCCCTTGAGTCAGACCCGACTCATAGTGACCCCTCCCTCCCTGGGTTGCTGAGGCAGTATCACTAGGGAAGTAGATTGCCCCATCTTCCTTCTGAGGAGTGGCTGGTGGGTTTGAACCGCCAGCCCTCTGGTTAGCAGTCCAATGCCTTAGGCACTATGCTACCAGAGCTCCTCTTAAACAGTTTGTTGTTTTGTTGTTATGTGCTGTCGAGTCAGCCCCAACTCATGGCGACCCCTCCTTGGGTTTCCAAGGCAGTATCAGTACGGAAGTAGGATTGCCCAACTTTCCTTCCGAGGAGTGGCTGGTGGGTTTGAACCGCCAGCCTTCTGGTTAGCAGTCAAGTGCTTTAGCCACTATGCTACCAGAGCTCCTAACTTAAACAGTTTAGGAGGCTAAAAGTCCAAATTCAGAGCAGGGGCTGGGTAGAAGCCCCTCTACCTTGGTCTTCAGCTATGCCTCTTGTTCCAGGCCCACTGGAGCATGCTGGAGGCTTCTCCTGCCTCATGTAGCTGCTGGCTGCTGAGGCTCATGAATCCAAGATTGGGAAGTAAAATGGCAGATTGTTGGCTCACAGGCAGCAAACCCGAGATTGGCAGGCAACACAACAGACCACCGTTTCAAGTCCAGGAACTGGAGATGAAGACTAAGACCAAATGCAATATTCTTTCTCTATATACTGGAAGCAGGCCACACCCTGAAGGCAACTCCCCTTCACCTGATTAGCTGCTCACAGCAGAGTCCACCATGGAGGGGATTACACCACATCCACTCTCATCATGGGGAATAACCACAGCCAGCTGCCAAGCCACTCCAAATCACAGTCCAGTCAAGATGACACACAACCTTAACTACCACAGAAAGGATTCTAGAAAGAGGTTTAAGAAACGAAGATCAGATGGGATCACGAATAATCTAAGACTCCTGAACAAGATACAGGGGTTGGATCCAGAGCATACCATGAAGGAAAGTGGAAAAGATGTTCAGAAGCAGGTAGGTTTGTAAGTGTGGTTTTGGGGAAGCTGAAAGGGGAGTTGTATCTTGTAGCTTTTGTTTACTTTGCGAGATAAGCAGAAAGTGGGACTGTCAAGAGTAAACAACAGGGAACTGTGCTGGTTTTCTTTTTTTTTTTTTTCCCCTATGATTGGGTGGATGGTGAATCCGTTAATATAAAAAGGAATCTAGAAGAGGAAGACATTTTGTTTGGGTAGGCAAAAATAAAGACTCGTAACAGACTTTTTGTGCCACTCCCCTTTGCCAACTCTTCCTCAGTCGTTTTGGCCTTTCTGATCCTGAAATTCAAGCATGCCCATGCTTATTCATGCCTTTGTTTCTTTGCACTACCTGTACCTTCTGCTTGGACTATTCTCCCCCTGGCTTCTTGACATTTGGTTCTCTGCCTAAATGTCTGTTACTTCCTCAGAGTGATCTGCTTATGTAACTAAAATAACTACCCAGTCACTCTCACATAACCTTATTCTAATATTTTGTGGAATACTTATTCTTAACTCACCCCCCACCCCCTGCAAGTATTTGCCCCAGTTCATGGAATGTAAGTTTCCTACCAACAGGGATCTTGTTGGGCTGTTTCTTTGCCCTTTCGCTCCTAGAACAGTTCCTAGTATCCAGGAGGCATTTGTAGGCCCTCAGGTAACAACTAATTAAATGAATGAATGAAACTTTTCACAGTCACTCTGAGGGGAGGGTCTGCACAAGGGCAAAGATGGGTTAGGAATGCACTAGTGTACTTGTACTAAATGTGGGTCAGATGTTAACTGACATTGGGGAATTCAATGAAATTACCTTGGGCTCCATCTTATATGGGACAAATCTCTTCCATTCTCTGGGAATTACATGGGAAGTTGAACTGGAGCTGATCATTGAAGACTAGAGTAGATGCTATAAAGACTAGAGTAGGTGCTATAAAGAACAAAGTATATAGAGATGGAGGGAACATTTTGGAAGGTGGGTCACAACTGATTTAAAAGATGAAACAAGGAAATATTTTCAGGGCATTAGGAGAACAAAACCAAGAGTCCATTCAACTCATAGCGACCCCTCCTTGGGTTTCTGAGGCAGTATCTCTACGGAAGTAGATTGCCCAGTCTTTCTTCCAAGGAGTGGCTGGTGGGTTTGAACCACCAGCCTTCTGGTTAGTGGTCAAATGCCTTAGGCACTACACCAGGAAAAAGCACTACAAAAGTCAAGGGAATAGAAATTTTGGAGAAAAGGCAGGTGCAGCTAAAACAGAACAAATAGAATGTAGACTGATACGTATTACGTTTTTACTAGAAAGTGGTCGAATTTAAAAGTAGTTACCAATAAAAACCAAAACCCAACCAGCTGCCTTTAAGTTGATTTTGACTCGTGTTTCAGAGAACTGTGCTCCACAGGGTTTTCAACAGATGTGATCTTTCGGAAGATTACTGGGCCTTCCGAAGCATCTCTGGGTGGATTCAAACTGCCAAACTTTCAATTAGTGCATTTACTCATTTCTGCCACCCAGTGATTTCAGTTATTAATAAACTCAAAAAATAAAAAAACAAAAAAAACCACTGCTATCCAGTGGATTCTGACTCAGAGTGACCCCCTTTGGGTTTCCAAGGCCATAAATATTTATGGAAGTAGGTAGTCCAGTCTTCCTTCCACAGAGTGGCTACTGAGTTTGAACCGCCAACCTTCTGGTTAGCAGTCAAATGCCTTAGGCACTCAAAACCAAAAACCAAACTTACTGCCATCGAGTTGTGGTGTTGGAAAAGAATGCTAAGAGTTCCATGGTGTGCTAAAAAGACTAACAAATTTGTCCTGGAAGAAGTGCAGCCAGAATGCTCCTTGGAAGCTAGAATAGCCATACTTCATCTCACTTACTTTGGTCATGTTGTCAGAAGGGACCATTTCCTGGAGAAGGATACCATGCTTGGTAAAGTGCTGGGTAAACAAAGAAGGGAAAGGCCTTCAACGAGATAGAGTGACACAGTGGCTGCAACGATAGGCTCCGGGATAGCAAGGATCATAAGGCTGACTCAAGACGGGGCAGTGTTTTGTTCTGCTGTGCATAGGGTCGCTATGAGTCAGAGACAACTGTGTGGCACCTAACAACAACAACAATCTCTGCAGAAGTAGATTGCCCAGTCTTCCTTCCGAGGAGTGGCCAGTGGGTTTGAACCACCAGCCTTCTGGTTAGCAGTCAAATGCCTTAAGAACTATGCCACCAGAACTCCTTAAAAGCAAACAGAACAGTCAGAAATGTTCCTTCTGGCATGTGCCACAGCTCCTTCCAACCCTGCAGCAGTCAGCTCCAGGAGGCTACATTTTCTTTGAAAAAATATACTGAACTAAAAGTCAAAACACTTGGGCTTGACTTCTGATAGAAACAGGAGTCCACATTGCTATAGATAACTGGAGGCTTCTAGGCAAGTCAATTTATCCCCATTGAGCACCAATTTCTTTTCTGTAACATAGGAATAAATAGAATCTGTTTTGCCAACGTTAGGGTTGTTTGGAAAGTTGCTGAGCATGGTTATGATGGGAATGCATTGTGAACTCTTGAATTTCATAGAAATATGTCACTGCAGTTGGAGCTAGAAATGAAGGTAACAGGTGGGTTACATAGCTGGTATACCATCGATTCTGGTAAATTGGGGAGAAAAACTGAGGAAATAGTTGAAAGGGACTGGAATCAAGAATGGGTGAGTTTGGAAGTTGAAAGAAGAATCAAGTGACAAGAAAACCCCTCCTTTCTTAGGTCGACATCTCACTTGTCCATTTCGCTCGATTTACCACTGCATTCAGGTCTCCCTTACTCTCTATGACTTTCTTCAATCCTGCCATGATCTTAATTTCCTATTTCTTTTTTCTTCCAGTCTTACCCACAAAAGAACGCTCGCTCATCTGCGTCCTTTAGAGGATTTTCACTCAGTACATGGCGGATGACGGCAAAGCTAACATTTGTGGTGTCTGACATTCTCACCTGGGCACTCACATCTTTCCTACAAGAATGATAATCACTGGGCGATTTATTTACATCAGCCAAAGCGTGTGACAGTGCGTTGCAAATTGCTAAACGCGCTACTAAACTAATGGGGAGTTCAGAATCATCATCAAACACCGGAGGAACTGGGACCCTCAGCGGCTAGCTTACTTGCTCAGTATCAATAACAGCGCTACTTAAAGGCTGAGTTCTGCAGCAGAACTCAGGTTCCCCAGGTTCGCGCTTCAGCTAAAGCTCGCCGTCCCCTCAGGTTTCAAGCCCCTTGCCACTGAGTGGATTCCAACCCATAGCGAACCCATAGGAACTGCAAAGTTGTAATCTTTCCCCTGCAGGTGAGGACTGGTACCTTGAACGACCCAAAAGAAAACCAAACTTCGCCTAATCTCGCGCTGTAGGCTCTAGAGGCGGCGAGGAGCACGAAATATCGCGAGATGACAGCGTTTTTCCCGCGAAAGGGAAGCGCGCGTTTTTCCCCGCTCAGAAGGCTGGGTCCGGCAGCACCTGTGAGGAATTAGCGCGCGGCGTTGGAGAAGCTGAGAGAAGGGGATCTGGTTCCCGGGTGTGTGTCCGGCCATGCCAGCAGAGCAAGCTCCGATTAGCGGCGGTGAGTGAGAAGAGCCTTCCTCCGGGCGCAGTGGCGTCCTTTACTGGGAGCAGCATGGAGGCTGCAGCCGAGCTTGGGGGAGGGAGCTGACCGCGGGCAGGACTGAGAAGAGGGGCAAGAAGCTGTGGAAGGGTGAGTGGAGGACACCCCAGACTCGCATTTACTCGCATGACACGGAAGATTTTGCACTAGAGAGCTGCGTTTTCCGGAGCATCCCGAGTTGTAAACGGGTCCTGTCAACTTGTTGATACTGTGAAGAACTAGGTGATGCCACCTTCTCAGCGGAGTTTTAACTTTTTTTTTTTTTCGAATACATTTGGCAAGGGTAGGGAGGGCGTTTAATGTAGTGGTTGTAGTAGTTGAGTGATTTTTTTCAACTACAAATTTAAATGTCTTCTGTCTTAGGTTCCTTAGCTTCAGATATGGTTGACCAGCCGGAGACGGCCGTGATTACCCCAGCCATGCTACAAGAGGAAGAACAGCTTGAGGCTGCTGGACTTGAGAGAGAGCAGGAGATGCTAGAAAAGGTAATTTGGAATCACGTAGAGTTCGTAGTGGTTAAAGCCGGGAGTAAACTAATGCTTCCTCAGAGGTGCCATTTATGTTCGTTAGTTTAGTGTGTAGCTGTAACAAACTTCAGAACGGCCTTATTTGTATGTTTACAGATGCTACCACTGAAAAGCCTTTTGCACGTGCTTTGAATGATGTGCTTCTGTGAGGTGTTCTCTTGGTATACTATAAAGTGTTCCTTCCCGTTTCTATTTTTATGAGCAATTCAAAACGCCTGTTTAGCCATTATAATTGCTTCCAAAATCTGTAGCCATCTTTCTTTTGTCATCTTTGTTTCCTTTTAAATAAGATGAATACCTTGAATATATGCCTGCTGGCAAGCATTAAACTCTTCAGCCCCTGTAATCATACTGAACTGGACTAAGGGTAGTAGTAGATGTTACCTGCAATCAACGCCTGAGCTAGAATCTAGGTCTGATGACTCCCTTACAGTTGAGTGCTGTTTTCTGTCTAAGTGATCCACTTGGTTTTTGTTTTCTTTTTTGGTTTCTTGAGTTGTCTATTGCTAAATAAGATTCTTTAGCTAAAAATGTGGCATACGGTTTCAGGGACTTCCTTGAATAATGTACCTGTTTTGTAGGTTACTAAAAACAGTCGTATCCTCTGGCAGATTCAATCAGGTATATTCTGAAGCTCTACTGTACCACTTAGGGAGCCTGATGAGCCTGGGCAGCTAACTGAAAGGTGGACAGTTTCACTTCGATTATATCAGGTCTCCTATGGGACAAAAGACCTGTTGATCTATTCCTGTAAAGATTACAGCCTTGGAAACCCTATGAGCCTACTTTATCATACTGGGTCATTATGAGTTGGAATCTCCTTAATAGCAGACAACAAGAAAGACAATGATAGCTCTTACTTACTGCCTACTAAGTGATTTGCTTGTATTTCTTTAGCACTCCCATTGATGAGTAGTATGAATAGGTACTTTTATTGGCCCATTTACAAATGAAGAAATTAAGGGAATTGGGATCACACACAAATTGTCTGAACTCAGATTCAAACTCATACTGTCCCTCTCTAGAGTTCCTGTTCTTTAGTGCTGTGCCTCCCTCAGGAAATGTACATTAATTTAAAATTGAATTAACTCCAACATAATCACAAAAGTACTTAAGCTGGGGGAAAATGAATTCGAATAGTAATGAATCATTTGGTTCCTTGCTATTTTATATCAACAATAGTGATTTTTTTGCATGTTTATTATTATTGTTAACATTTAATGAGCATATGATTCACTCATTTGAATCCTTGACTATCCCATGAAGTAGACATTGTCATTAAACTGTACTGTTTCTGTTATTAGAAGTACTAGTTTAATTACTAGTATCCCAAAACTCCAAAACTCACTGCCTTCTAGTCGATTCCAACTCACATTGGGTTTCCAAGGCTATAAATCTTTATGGATGGAGCAGCTAGTAGGTTCAAAGCACAGACCTTTTGGTTAGCAGCCAAAATGCCTTAACCACTATACCACCAAAGGTCCTTAATTACTAGTATACTTACTATTAAAAAGTATTCTATGAAGCAGATCCATTTTCTTTTCATTTACAAGAAACTGAGGCATGTAGAGGTTGCTTGGGACACCACAAAGAGTAAGTGGCAATCAAAATTCCAGGCTATGTAGTTCTAGAATTCGTACTTTTAAGTTACCATGTTATACTTACACTCTAATAATACTAGTTCTGTTATTACTTGTCATTCAACAACTCAGTCAGTGTGCTGTCAACTCAGACTCATAGCGACCTTGCAGGTCAGAGTAGAATTGCTCATAGGTTTTCCTAAGCTGTAATCTTTACTGGAACAGATCATTATAGCTTTTCTCCCTAGGAGTGGCTGATGGGTTCAAACCACCAATCTTGTTTTGCATCCGAGTGCTTTAACTGCACCACCAGGGCTCCATTGGTCATCCACATGAAACTAGAAGTAAAAATGACTTCTACTTTTAATGAACACTTTTGCAAATAGTCATCAAGTTTATTGTAATTGTTATCATTCAGGGACAGGTATGGTATCCTTCTACATCATAGAACCTGAAATAGCTTTAAATCCACTTAGAATCCTTTCATTAATAAAACGGTATTGCTCTTTTTGAATCTATTAATTAAGAAAATAAACAAACCCACTGCCATAGAATTGATTCTGACTGATAGCAACCATATAGGACAGAACTGCCCATAAGGTTTCCAAGGCCACATTTTATTCCTACCGAGGAGCTAGTGGGTTCAAACTACCAGACTTTTGGTTTGCAGGCTAATGCTTTAACTACAGCACCACCAGAGCTCCTTCCTTGTGCTAATACAAGGGTATAATGTACTAAAACTTGGATGTATTGTATTCCATTGTTACAATAAATCTTATGTGCAGGTATGGAAGGACTTTGGTTAAATGCCACCTAAAAAGGTTATTTCCTATGTGACTCCCTGGAGAAAATTCTAAGAGTAATTTTCAATCTTATTTGAGATTAAAAAAAAAAAAATTAGCTTTCTTTGGAGGCCATAAAACTCATTATACAAAAGTAAAGATTCTTTTTCTTTTGGGAGAATACCCGCCAGCTGCTCCACAGAAGGAAGATGAGGCAATCTACTTCTGTAAAGATTTAACCCCTTGGGAACCCAGTGGGGGTCACTATAAGCCAGAATGGATTTGATAGCAGTGGTTTGGTTTTATTTGTATAGTGTTATGGGCATATATTTAGAAGTGCTTAAAAGAGGAAGAGCTAGTTTAAGAGAAGCATTGACAGATTTTAAGGTTTGTGAAGAACCAGGAGGATGACTTTGACATTCATTTGCTAATCATTTTCTTTGACTTTTCACCCTATTTCCTTTTGAAAGAGGTCATTGTTAGTTTAGAAGACTGAAGTTTAACGTTGAAGTGTACGTAGGGGGAAGGGAGAAAGATCAGCTATGGAGATATTTCTTGGAGAGGTAAAAGGAAAATAGTTATATTGTGTAGACTGAAATAAAGTGAACTGAATTATGCTCCAGCAAACTAGAAAAGGAAAGTATTTTCCCCCCCTAAAAAAAAATCTGGGCTTACAGTTGGGGAGGACAGTGGGGTAGACAGTGAGGATTTTCTATACCTAGTGTCCACTGGCATACTCTCACTCTAGCCACTGAGAGATGTGCACTGCCAGGCACTCAGTGCTTTCCATAGATGGTGATATAGTTTATTTTAATATAACAAATAAAATTGCTAAGGCAAGCAATAGTAAAGATAGGAAGATTTACTACAAAATTATTTTGAAATATAGAAGACTGGATTTAAAGGTATAACTATTGGCATTGTATTATTCTAGTTATATTGTAAATTGTTTCACAGTAGCATATTAAAATTTTAATTATTTTAAAGATGTTACTAACTTACTCTGAAAAGGATTTAAGGTAGCAGTTATATCTGAAACTCAAAATATTTTAGCACTTTTAAGCAAATTAAGAAAGGCCCCTTAAATGGTTAAGTGTGTTGGCCGTTTGAACCCACCTGCTGCTCCAGGGGAGAAAGATGTGGCAATATGCTTCGGTGAAGATTTACAGCTTTGGAAACACTATGGAGCAGTTCAGCTTTGTCCTGTAGTGTCTTTATAAGTCAGAATCAACTTGATGGAAATTTTTTTTTTTAATGCTAGTAGAGAGGCTTGCAGTTGGAACCTACTAGCTACTCTGGGAGAAAGACCTGGTGCTCTGCCTCTGTAGAGATGACAGCCTGGGAAACCCTATCGGGCAGTTCTGCTAGGTCCTGTGGGGTTGCTCTGAGTTGGAATTGACTGTATCACACACAACAAAATGAAATTTAAGAGTTTAAAATCTAAGAATCTGTTTTTTAAAAGTCTAATTTTCATCTCCTTTTTCGTAATACCCATCTCATTCATGGACTGTCTATTGTAATCATTGTGTTGGTAATAGTAAAAGAAGTGCTGAAAATAAAATTTGAGAAGGTGTTAATGGATTATCTGTGGGTGGGATCATGTTTCTTTTTTTTTTTCAATCTCTATTTTTCTGTAATAAGCATGTATTACTTTTGTTAGATTTATTCCTGCATATTTATCTTATTTATTGTCCTTGCTTTTGCAGGAAATTTATTTTGAAAGAATAGAGAGAGAATATCTAGGAAAATAAAAGCTAATATTCACAACACTATGCAACCATACTCAACAGCACACAGTAACAACATCAACCACTGCCATGGAGTGAGATCCGACTCATAGCGACCCCTCCTTGGGTTTCTGGGGTGGTATCACTACGGAAGTAGATTGCCCAACCTTTTTTCCGAGGAGTGCTTAGTGATACCTAAATTACAAGGTCAGGTCTTAACCACTAAATTAATTAGATTATGCCTAGTCTAGATACCTCAACAAGCTGGAACAGCAAAACTACCAAGTTATCAGCAAGGTGTTGAGGCATTATTTAGAATATAAAAATGAATTTGTAGACGTACGTTCACATCAGTCTTAAGCTTTCATTTCTCTTCTTTTAATTTGAAATTGCCAAGTCCTAGGAGCAGGGTGAGTAGGGTAGTTAGGCTGTTGGTTTGTTTTTGTTTTTCCATTTATATTGATAGAAAAGCAGATGGCTTGGTCTCATTGAGATAGCAAAATACTGAAAATGTGCTGCTGAACAGTTAGATACCTTGGATAAGTTTTCCTAGACTGACATCTGTACTACTCTGTAAGGGTCCATGTAATTGTAAACTTCTAGTATGATTCTTAATGCTGTTACATAGGCCAGCATTGCTTAATGGAAGAGCTACCACAGTAACTGGACAAATGCAGAGCTCTGCTCTTCTGATGGTCTTTTAGACAGCTCATAATCATCTAATTCCTGAAATCTCTGATTTTTCTAACCATGGCGATTTCTATTTTGTACATCACAATTTACTACTAAGATGTGTTTTTTAATGTGTGATGTTTTCAAATTCTTTGATAATAGCATCTCATATATAATATTAAGTGGACAAGCATAAAAATTGTGTGTTTTCTACAATGTAACTTTATGTAATGCGTTTGCAGATTAGAGCCTCCAGTACATACTTGCTGATCGACTAAACTGGATTGGTGTTAAAGAATTAACATTTAAAAGATAATCTTGGCTAAACATCTGTCTTGAATGTTAGACAGGATGAATTGTGTTGGCAGTGTTTTTAAAACATTCTAGCTAAATTACCCTCTAAGGTAGTTCTTCATCTTGGCTTCATTTTAGAAGGACCTCAGGGAACTTTTAAAATGATACTTTTTCTTTACTATCCTATTCTGATTTAACTTGGTGGGCTAGCATGTATGTGTACTTGCTCAGGAGTAGAATTGCTGGTTGGTATGGTTTGCATATCTTTAGCATAAGGAGCCCTGGTGTGGTGTCACAGTGGTTGAGCGTTCGGCTGCTAACCAAAAGGTCAGTTGTTTGAACCCATCAGATACTCCGTGGAAGAAAGATACGGTAGTCTGTTTCCATAAAGATTATAGTTCTACTCTGTCCTATAGAGTCCCCATGAGTCAGAATCAACTTGATGACAATGGAAAAGCTTTAGTAGATGAATTCACACTATAATGTATCTTTTAATTCAAGTAGTTATTAATCTATACTAGGTTGATAAATTACTGGCCACATTTGGCCTGTACCTGTTTACGTTTTCATTGGAGCAAAGCTATACCCATTCATATACATATTATGTGTGACTTCTCTTATGCTGCAAAGGCGGTATTGAGTAGTTACAGCAGAGATCATATGGTGCGTAAATACTAAAATATTTTACTATCTGTTTCTTTCTCAGAAAAAGCTTGGGGACCATTTACCTATTCTGTTCATTTGTTGCTTTATGTTGTTAATCTTTATCTTTGCCCTCTGGTATTAAACTATTCTTGTCAGTGTGTCAGTGTGAATTGAGACGATTCCTCCCCAGACATTAGAATAAATAATGTAGACTCTTAGAAATGATCAATAAAATCAGTGCATAAAAGTAATATGGAAAGTAGAGGTTTTCAGTTGGAAACTATATGGAAGTGAATGATAAAAGTATGAGCATAAAAGAGAGCTAAGGGATAAGGGCAACACTTTGGGGGAACACAAAATACTGAGGGCAAAAAGAAGCAGTTTGTAAGAAATCCCCAGTGAATCTGGAGATTTAGCAAGTTGAAATATTTTGACTGTAGTTGTTAAATTTAAAAAATTCTGGCCAATAAGATTATTATTTTTAACTCTAATGGGTTTTCAAATAAAACTGGTATACAAAGTTTTTTTCTTTTTTTTTCCTGAAAGTATTTGATTGGTTAAAAACTTAAATCTAACTTTAATTAAATACTTCTTTTTCTAATTTTTAATATAAAAAATTGTTTAAGAACCCCTCAATTCAGTAGATCCCAGTAATCATATGTCCAGTATCTAAAGTTTCAGTATTTTGGTATCCAGTACATGTACCAGATTGCCTGTTGAACCCAAGAATGTTTTTCAGCTGCGTGTGCTAATTTTTGGTTTGGACAGTAAAGTATCCAAAAGAAAAAAATAAACTATCATTATTAAATGAATTTAATCTTTTAAAAATCTTTATAATCTTTAATGAGAACTATATTAAAAATCATTTATGTAGCCATTTTTGTTACATCTAATGCAAAAAAAAAAAATCAAGGATGTCAGAAAATTTATGGAAATTTTTTCTTTGGATAGGCTCGTATGTCGTGGGATAGAGAGTCCACGGACATTCGGTACCGGAGACTTCAACATTTGCTTGAGAAAAGCAATATCTATTCTAAGTTTTTATTAACTAAAATGGAACAACAACAATTAGAGGTAAGTATATGTGATTTACATATACTTGGTAGTGTAAAAAAAAATTAAATTTAAATTGCATACAATAAAATGTACACATTGTAGGTAAACATTTTGAGTTTTTCTAGATGTATACACTTATGTAACCACCAACACAGTCAGCATAATCTAGATTAGTGTTATCTTTTCTACAATATTACATAAATGAATTATATCCATACTGTTATTTTTGTTAATAGGCCATTCTTTTTATTCTGTTGTATGAAAATACCTTTATTCATTCATTCACCTGTTGACTTATTTTTATCTTGGTCATGGGTAATATTTTTTGCTCAAAATTATGAATTTTATGTTGTTTAATGCTGTTTTCTTTTTTGTTGTTTGTTTGCTTTAATCAGGTTTATTGATGTACAGTTGACCTCAATACAATGTAATACAATAAACTGCACATATTTAAAACATACAATTTTGTAAATTTTGATACTTTCATATACACACACACACACACACACACATACATGTAAAGCAGCCATCAAGATAAGGAACATGACCATACACTCATAAGATTCCCTCTGCCCCTTTTTAATTCTCTCTTCACCTCTTCCTGCTTTCTGTGCTCAGATAGTCATTAATGTGCTTTCTGTCACTATTAATTAGCTGCATTTCTGAATTTTAAATAAATGCAATATTACAATATGTATACTTTGACTTCCATTTGGCAGAATTTTGATACGTATTCATGTTTTTGGGTATACTTATACTTTGTTCCTTCTTATTTCTGAGCGTATTCCTTTGTATAGATATACCACAGTTTGTTTATCAGTTTACCTATAGATTGCCATTTATGTTATTTCCAGTTTTGGCTGTTGCAAATAAAGCTGCTGTGAGCATTCATGTTCAGGTCTTTTTTTTTTTGGGTGACACTTTACAGAGCAAATTCATTTCCTTAGAGCAGTTCATAACATTTTGTTTCATGAGATTGACTACAATTCTGCACTGTGTAAAAGCTCTCTTCCTACTTCCTCCTTGTAGTTACCTCTTCCCTGTGTTCTTCCCTCTCATGCATTCCTGTCTCCCACCCCCCATGCTATCTCCCTGTGCAAACACTGCCCTTCTGTTCTCCCATGATTGATCACGCCAAGGAATGTGTCTGTCTACCTGATATAAATGTTCACTCCAGCGCCCGTCTGTTGTTTGGCTGGAAGCCACAGGAGTGAGTTCAGTTCCAGACCTGAAGGGTAACTAGGGGCCATAGTCTCAGGAGTCTTACCAGGCTCTATCAATCAAACCAGCAAACTTGATCTTTTTTTTTTTTTTTTTTTTTTTTTTTTTTTTTTTTTTTTGATTTTGATTTTGATTTTTTGATTTTGAGTTTCATGTACAAGTCTTTATATGATCTTAAGAGTTTTATTTCTCTTGGTAAATACTTTGTAATGGAATGACTGGGTTATATGGTGGAAATATGTTTAACTTTTTAAGAAACTGTTCAGTTGTTTGCTAAGTGGTTGTACTCTTTTACATTCCTGTCTACAGTATGTGAGTCCCTGTTGTTCCACATCTTCACAAATACTTGGTTTGCTCGATCTTGTTAGTTTTATCCATTCTAATAGGTGTGTAGTGATACATCATTTTCATTTATATCTTTTTATGATTAATGATTTGAGCATCTTTTCAGTGTTTTATCCACAGTTGATACCTTTAAAAACTTACTGTCTTTTTGGTGAAAGTTTACGTAGTAAGTTAGGTTCCTGTTAGATAGTTTCCACACATACTATTCAGTGACAGTAGTTATATTTTCAGTGTGTCAACATTCTCTTTAATTGTGTTCTGGTTGTTCAATTTCTGGTACTATAGTTTCCCTATCCTCTTCTCATCTTTGCTTTAGAATAAATAATGATCTTTTTGGTTTCCTATAGATAGTTTTTTAGTAAAGCACCATTTTTATGGGTAATATCCTTCATTTTGTGTGTTGATCTGCTGTTTCACTTAAAGCTGATCTAACAGTACAATTTGGTTTAAGATTTAGAGAGTATCTTGGGGTAATAGTCTCAGGGAGTCCTCTGGTCTCAACTGGCCCAATTAGTCTGGACTTTTTTTTTTTTAAGAATTTGAATTTTGTTCTACATTTTTCTCTGGTTCTGTTTGACATTGTATATTTTGACCCTGGTCAAAATGGTCAGTGGTAACCAGGCACCATCTAGTTCTAGTTCTGCTGGTCTCAGGTTAGATGAGGATGTATAGGCTGTCAACCCTGTAGATTTGTACCTTCTCTGAGATTTTGGTTACTTTAAGACCTTATTAGTTGATACTCATTCCACTAGGATATAGAACATGAACTTTGTGAATTATATTATGCTAGTAGATTGAGTTGGGAGCTCTCGTGGCATAGTGCTTAAGAAGGCATTTGACTGCTAACTAGAAGGCTGGCAGTTCAAACCCACCAGCCACTCCTTGGAAGGAAGGTTGGGCAGTCTGCTTCCGTAGTGATACTGCATTGGAAACCCAAGGAAGGATCGCCATGAGTCGGATCCTACTTGACAGCAGTGGGTTTTTTTTTTTTTTTTTAGCTGACTGAGTTGTCCCATGAGACAATGATCCTAAATAAAACCTTCAAATCGGAAAACCATTCTTGGAAGGTGTTTGGTTATATCTGAGGAATATGTGTAGTTGTGTCTTCACTGAATATGTAACTGCACATACAAATCTATAATTACACGTACATATAGATACTTCTGTGTGTTCTCACGTATATATATACCTGTACTGACCTGTATACCTTAATGCCTATACCCATCCATATGTGATCATACACTTGATTTTTGGTTTATGTGGGAGATGTTGTCTTCTTATACACCTCAAATTCTTTAGGACAGGCATCCTTTTCTCTTGAGTGTTTTTAGTGACATCATTTACTTTAGTCATGCTGTGCTCACTACATCCACATTTGGTGCCATTTTCTCCCATTGCCATCAGTGTATCTTTACTAAAATGTGTGTTTAAATCTTTTGCCCATTCTTTTTACTGTGTTGTTTGATTTCTCATTATTGAGTTCGATATATAATCTAGGTACAAGTCTTTTAATGGATATGTGGGATTTGCAAACATTTGCTTCCAGTTTATGGTTTGTCCTTTCGTTAATAATGTGTTTTGAAGAATAGCAGTTCTTAATTTTCATGAAGTCCAGTTAATGAATTGTGTCTTCTTTGGATTTTACTTTTGGTATCATATCTTAAATCTTTGCCTAACCAAAGTCATGATGCTTTTCTTCTAGAAGTTTTACAGTTTACATGTAGGTAGTTATGTATTTTGCATTAACTTTTTATGTGGTGTGAGGTAAAGGTTCTTGTTAGTAGCTATTGAATCTGCTCTGATTTATAGTGTTCTTCTGCATAATAGAATGAAATGTTGTCCAGTGCTGTACCATTTTCATGACTGTTGGTATGTTTGAACTCATTGTGGCTGTATGTCAGTACGTCTCATTGAGGGTTTTCCTCATTTTCAGTTTACCGTACGTGATGTTCTTTTGTAGTAATTGACCTTTTCCTCAAGTTGTGTCGAGAGTGAGTGAGTTGAAGTCTCACCATTCTTGCTTTTAAAAAGTATTCTGGTTGTATTTTTTCTAAGATTGATTTGTTCGTTCTTTTTGCAGTCCACGTCATAGTCAGTTTTCACAGCACCATGTGTATGAGGTGATTGAAAAGACCATGGCTTGGGTAAGGTATACCATAGTCATTAAGGTGACATCTTTGCTTTTTAAACTTAAAGAGGTCTTTTTCAGCAGATTTCTTCAGTGCAACATGTTGTGTGATTTCTTGACTGCTGCTTCCGTGGACATTGGTTTTATAGAGATGCGTTTTTTTGGTTGTTGTTATTAGTTGCCGTTGAGTTGGCCTCTGACTCATGGCAACCCCATGTGTTACAGAGTAGAACTGAGCTCCATAGGGTTTTCTTGGCTATAATCTTTTATGGAAGTGTACACAGATCTTTCTTCTGCAGACATAGGGTCAGTTTAAACCACCAGTCTTTAGGTGAACAGCTGATTGCAAAACTGGTTCTGCTAACCAGCCTATTCAGTTATTTCTACGTTTATTGAAGACTTTTCTCCACTGAATTGCTTTTGCATCTTTGTCAAAAATCACTTGAACATATATGTGTAGATCTATTTCTAGATACTATTCTGTTCGATTGGTATTTGTCTATGCTATATGCTGTATATGAGAGCTCTGGTAGCATAGTGCCTAAGGCATTTGACTGCTAACCAGAAGGCTGGCGGTTCAAACCCACCAGCCACTCCTTGGAAGGAAGGTTGGGCAATCTACTTCTGTAGTGATACCGCCTCAGTAATCCAAGGAGGGGTCGCTATGAGTCGGGTTCGACTCAACAACACATAACAACAACAACTACTGTATTTACTGTATCATCTTGATTAGTATACCTTTGTCTTTAATGTAAGTTGGAGAACTTTGTTCTTTTTCAAAGTTTTAGCTTTTCCATGGCCTTTGGTTTTCTCTATGAATAGAATCAGCTTGTCAATTTCTTAAAAAAAAAAAAAAAACTTGCTGTAGATCAGTTTGGGGGAGTTAACATCTTAACAATGTTTTCGATTTCTGATTTTTCATTGCTATAATAAAGAAATATAATTGATAATTGTGTATTGATCTCTTAATGATTGTCAGGCTTTTTCTGTAAAGAGTCAAGTAGTAAATATTTTAGGTTACATGGACTTATGAGGTGAATAGTCATATAAGATTGTTATGTGTCTTAATGAATTAAGTTCTCAGTCATGAGGATGGCTTGGGATCTGACATTGTTTCTGTTCTGTTGTGCATGGGGTTGTCATGAGTTGGAGCCAAATTGATGGCAACTAACAACAAAATCATTATGAAATCATCCTCTTTAGTTCGAGAAAAATTTTTTTGCTCTGAAATCTAGTTTAATATTGATAATGCCACTTCAGCTTTCTTTTAATTAATATTAGCATAGTGTATATTTTTCCATTCTTTTAACCTATTTGTGTCTTTATATTTAAAATAGGTTTCTTTAGACTATCTATAGTTTGCTCTTTTCCTTTACAATGTATTTCCAACAATATAAAGAATGATCCTTTTAAAATATATCCGATCATGTCATCTTTATGCTCAAAACCTTCCAGTAGCTTATCTGCTTCACTCAGAATAAAAGCCAAAGTCTTTTTATTTTATGTCCTATAAGACTGCAGTAACCTGACTGCCTCCCCCAACCTCATTACCTTCCCAAAAGCATTTTAGTCAAGGACCTTCATTTGAGCCTCTAGGCCGTTGCTGCTAGCTATTCTCTTCCTAGACTCTCTTCCTTTACATGCCTGCATGGCTTATTTCATCATCATCTTCAGGTCTTGGCTTAAGTGATCTTTTCTTAATGAGGCCTGCCCTGACAGCCTGAAATGAACTTGCCACTTTGCACCTCTTCTGTCGCTCCTGTTTGATTCTTTCCGTTGCACCTCTCATCTAGCGTACTATATATTTATTTACTTACTGTAGTTATCGTTTGTCTCCTGACCTGAATGTATGATGATTTTAAAACTTGTGTAAATTGAGAGAATACAGTATATCTCTGCTTTTCCCCATCATCCACATTTAATGATTATCACTTGGGATTTTGCCACACATGCTTCATCTATCTTTGCTCAAGCCTTTTTAAAACCTTTTTGTGATCATATGAAACATACAGAAAAATGCAAAACTAATTAGTTATTATAATTTATTATAAGGCAAACACTTTTATCCACCGCTTGGTAATGATTTTGATTGTTTAGTGTCTTGTGTTTAAAGCTTCATTAGTGTTAGAGTAACTTGACCTGTCTTCTGATACTCAACACTCTGTGTTAGGTTTCTATTCCTAAGTGTTTGTAGAAGAATGAGAAATTGTTCTAGCTGCCTCTTTCTGGTGGCTCTTTTCCTGGCCTTGCTGGTTTCCTTGCCTCATGTTCTTAGCTGAAGATTGCACATCTTCAGAGTTTTCTCTCTGCAGCTCTCTCCTCTCTGGTATTCAACTCCGCAGCTGCTAACTGCCCTAAGTTTTGAACTTCTGAACTGTTGGGCTCTGTTTGCTTTCTGCCTGCATTATCCATGCCTGAATATTGCTTTCAGGAAGATTGTTTCCATTTTCTCAGTGTTCATTGTCTTTTGTCCAAAAACTATTGTTTATTGTTTGGTCTTGGTTTTAGTTGTTGAAGACAAGTGAGTAATCTATTCCCATTTATTCCATAAAGGCTTGAAGCATAGGTGCTACCTTAAATTTTCATATAGTTTCTTCATTGTGAATATAACTTACTTGAGAGCTGAGATGTGTGTTTTGTACTTGGCATTTTCTCCTTGTGACACTAAGAAATTATCTTACAGGAACAGAAGAAGAAAGAGAAATTGGAGAGGAAAAAGGAATCTTTAAAAGTTACAAAGGTAACATAGCAAACTAGGATTTTTTTATACATTACCTGAAATATTGAAGAAAATCTTTTGTATTCTTTTGACTTTTTTGACTATTTATTATTTTAACTTTCTTTGTCTGATAATCTTTGTTTATATTTAAAACTGCATGGAAACATGTAAAATTATTTTCTCGGTGGTTTAGATATGGAAGGAAGAGTAAGACAGTTCATTTTCTGTGGACTAACTCGCCAGCTTTTTTAGGAACTGCAATGATTACTGTTTCTACTTCAGATCTCCACTCTCATCATGTAAATAGCCTTTTTCAATCCTAACAGTAATAACAATAATCTAAATTTATAGCTTGCAGAATACATTTATATCTTGCTCATAACTGCAGCAGTAGGCTCAAATGGAAACTCTCAACATGTTGTATCTATTAATAACATTTCAGATAATAGAGTGTTCATCTCGGGACAGCTTGAACGTTAGGTGTGATCTTTTTGGAGGTGGTTTTAAGGTAAGGCCTTGATGGGAACAGTTATGCTGGTGAAAAGAGAAATAACAATGGTAATGTTTATTAAGTACCATAAAACCTGCAAAAGCCAGAATGTATAAGGTGGAAACCTGACAGAGAGGGAAAACTCATATATTTTCCCACTGAAATAAGCAAAAGAAGAGTAATGAGACAGCATCCTGTCAAAGGTAGAAAACACTGAAACACCTGGAAAAACAAAGCAGTCCTGTTGAGTCCTGGTTCTCACAGGTTGTATATTGTATTAGGTTTTATTCTATGCTTTACATGTGTTCTCTTAATCCTAAAAGCAGCTCTATTAGATAGTGGTACTATTATTATCCTCGTTTTACATAGTAAAGGGGTTTATGGAAAGAGAAATAAAGTAACTTGCCCAAAGTTATATAAATTTATAAATAATCCTATGAGGATTTGAAGGAGCTCTGGTGGCATAGTGGGTAAGGCATTTGGCTGCTAACCACCAGGTCGGTGGTTCAAACCCACAAGCCTACTCTACAGAAATGAGGCAACCTACTCCCATAAAGACTTATAGCCGTGGAAACCCAGTGGAGGTTTCTTTGAGTCAGAATCAACTCAATAGCTGTGGGGTTTTTTTTTTTTTTTTTTAATTTTAAAGTATGGTAGTTCAGTTCTTTTTAATTTTTTGGTGTGGGGATTTGAACCCAGGAACCTTCTTAGTTACAGAACCCACATGCAGCTTCTACACTAAACTCCCTTTATTGGGAAATGTGAGAATGCCAAGAGACAAAGTATATAGGTTTTATCTTGATTTTATCAGGATAAGTAGTATACTAAAATCTATTTGAGTCCAGTTATTTGATTCTTAGTCTGGTTTAGAGATAGTGTTTAAAGTACATAATAATTGGTATGTTATGAGAGAAATTGTAAAATCCTGTATTACAAATTGATTATTTAACTCAGTGCTGATTTTAGGGACTTACGTTGGGTTTTTGAAGAACATGTATTTATTTATAATTTTACTGGCTTAGCCATTTGCTCCTACTCTTGATCCTATTGATATGCTTCACATTGTCCCATCTAATTTTTATATTACAGTTTATGTTTTTCCTCTTCTAAAAGTACCATCCATTAAATTCTGCCTATTCTCTCTCACCAGTCCATTTTAATATTTTCTTTTTTAATCCTCTAATTTTTTTTAACTTAGGAGCTCTGGTGGCGTGGTGCCTAAGGCACTTGACTACTAACCAGAAGGCTGGCGGTTCAAACCCACTAGCCAGTCTTCAGAAGGAAAGTTGGACAATCTACTTCCATAGTGATACTGCCTCGGACACCCAAGGGAAGGGGTTGCTATGGGTCAGATCGGACTTGATGGCAGTGAGTTTGGTTTGGTTTGGAATGTTTTAACTTAAGTTTTTATTTGCCCTATTTCTTTGCCCTTTTTATTTTTCATACTTGCTTTCTACCTGTTCTTAATATAAAACCAAAAAAACCAAATTCACGGCTGTCGAGTCGGATCCGACTTATAGCGACCCCCCTTTGGGCTTCAGAAGCGGTATCACTACGGAAGTAGATTGCCCAACCTTCCTTCCAAGGAGTGCCAGTCTTCCTTAGGGGAGGAGTGGCTGGTGGATTTCAACCACCGGCCTCTGGCTGGCAGTCAAGTGCTTTAGGCGCTAGCCACCAGTGCTCCATTCTTAATATAATGTTTATCCAGTTTTCTCACTTTGAAACTTTATTTTTTAACAGTTTTTCTTTTCCTTTTATTTATCCCTCTCATTAATATTTTTATAGTAACTCTTTTTATTTCTATTTTCACTTGTATTTAACTTACGTATTTTCGTGAAAGATGAATATGCCTTTCACACCATGTGTATTGAATACTTTTCAGCATAAATGTGCAGTAACAGAAGATATATATGGAATTTAAAAATAAAATTCCTTCAATATGTTTAATTTTGAATTTTCCTTCCTATGTGGAAAAAAACTTTGAGGAAAAAGTAAGGCCTTTGGGGTATAGTAAGGAATTACAGACAAGTTATGTATAGGTAAATAATAGTGAAGACTATGGATGTGGTTCAGTTGCCATGGAGCATTTACTTCTCTCAAGTTAATCAGTGTTCTTTAATATGTAATAACATAAAGGTCCATAGAAGAAGTAATATTTTAAATCCTTATTTTGTAGGGTGAAAACGGAATTGAGGCAGGTGAAGAAAATCCAGGTAAATTTCCTTATTCTTGTTTTGATGAGTATGTGTTTATATTTCTGCTTTAATTGATTTCAAAAATTAAATTATACATATTTTTTATAGTCCTGAGAAAGAAAAGAGGAAGAGAAGATGAGTCATACAATATTTCAGAAGTCATGTCAAAAGAGGTAAAAATAATAGAGAGCACGTAATATTCAATGTTGAATAAAGCCTGTTGTTTTGTTTCTTCTTTCCAGTAAATATGTAGGTAACAAAACATTTGCCGTTTCAACAGTCTTCATATATACAGTTCAGCAACATTAAATGTGTTCATCATGTTGTTTAACTGTCATCAATCCTGAGTTTTTCTGTCATCCTTAACAGAAGCCCAGTGTCTACTCTCTATTGTTGATTTTGAACAATCTTAAAGCTGTAAGGATTGTAGTTACTTGGCTTTTCAGCTTCTTACAAATATTTCTATTGTTTTCCGTTGTTGCTGTGTGAATATAATTAATTTTGAGAATATTATTTAAAAATTAACCATAAATATATAAAGTTAATAGCTATAGAGAAGTAAGTTGGGTGATGCAGTGGTTACAGCATTTGGCTGCTAATCAAAAGGTTGGCGATTTGATGCAGCTGTTGCACAGGAGAAAGATGAGGCATTTGTTTCTATAAAGATTTATGGCGAAAATCTAGCACAAAGCCTAAATTACAAGCTCTGAAGATCCATATAGATCTCTGCCTATTAACATTTTGTGTGTGTGTGTGTATGTACATACATACTTTTTTTAACCCCTCTTTTTCTTACAGAAAATTTCAGACCTAAGCAAATAAAGAGAGGCTAGTACACTGAATGGTCCAATGTCCAGCTTCAGCAGTTTCCAATCTTTGCCACTCTTATTATTTTCTACATCCCAAATTACTTTGAGGAAGATCCCAGCATCATTTCATTACTATATAAATATTTCCATATGCATCGCTAACAAGTACTATTTTAAAAAACTAATCACAATACATACAACTAACACATTTTTTTAAAAAGTGATAATTTCTTAATATTGTCAAAATTTCCCCTGGGCTCCTATATTTTGTTTTTACAGTTGGTTGTTCACAACAGGGGCAAAAGAAGTAGCATAAATTACATTTGGCTAATGTCTCTCTGAAATCTATTTCTTTTATCTTTGTTGTTGTTGTTATTGTGGCAAGTTGTTTATCGAAGAAAAGAAGTCATTTACCCTAATTTCTTGCATTTTAGATTTTCCTTTCTGTATCTCAGTGATTTCTTTGTTCCTGTGTTTCCAGAATGTAAACTGATAGTTATTAGAGATTTGATGCAATTAAGGTTTAATTTTTAGCAAGAATACTTCATAGATGGTATTATGTTTACGTGTTGTGCTTCATTGCTACATTGCCCTCCAAAAAGATTCAGCTTATCTAGTAAAAGACAACTTGTCTGTCAGTCCCCTATGTAAAATCTTTACAGCTTTAGAATATGAATGTCTATATCCTTGGAAACCCAAGGAGGGGTCGCTATGAGTCAGGTCTGACTTGATGGCAAAACAACAACAACAATATTGAGATATACACACATGTACAAATATGTATATGTATGTGTGTGTTGGCCATTTGCTGATACATCCTATCATTCTATGTATCTTAAATTTGAGATAAGCTTAAAGTGTGTATTATAGTATTTCTTCACCTTTGTACTCTATACATGACTGAAATGTACCCTCACTCTTACCTGTGATTAAGCTCTGGGGACAACTTTTTCAGATAATTTAATGTTGTAGTATCTCCTAAGTCACTAAGTGACATTAAGTATGGTATTGCTTGTGTCCATACTCATAGCAGCTAGAAGGTATTTAGAAATCAGAACACTTTTTATTCTGTATTTTCAATTTATTTGTCTTTACTGCTTGCCAAAGATTCTAAACTCAGATAGATGTCTATCAGCTGAGCCCTAAAGTGGGCTGGAGTTCAGACTGTAGTACATTTGGAAGTGAATCTTTGAATAAATGGAAGTCACAATTTGACTCTAGAGCAGAGGATGCTGGACTTCTCTGTGAAAAGCCCAGATAGGAAGTGTTTGCAACATTATGGATCATATTGTCTATCACAACTACTCTATGCCTGAAAACAACCATAGACAGGCTATAACAAGTGAGCCTAACTTTTTTTCCACTTAACTTTATTTGCAAAAACAGGCTGTCAGCGGGATTTGGCCACTTGGCTGTAGTTTGTTGACCCCTGTAGTACTTAGAATAAGGATCCCTGGTGGTGTAGTGGTTAAAAGCACTTGGCTGCTAACCAAAAGGTCAGCTGTCTCAACTTATGAGCCATTCCGTGGGAAAAAGATGTGGCAGTCTACTTCTGTAAAGATTTACGGCCTTGGAAACCTTATTGTTGTTATGTGCCATTGAGTCGGACCTGACTCATAGCGAGCGACCCTTCCTTCGGTTTCTGAGGCGGTATCCCAATGGAAGTAGATTGCCCAACCTTCCTTCTGAGGAGTGGCTGGTGGGTTTGAACCGCCAGTCTTCTGGTTAGCAGTCAAGTGCCTTAGGCACTGCGCTACCAGAGCTCCTTGGAAACCCTGTAGGGTTGTTCTGTTCTGTCCTATAGTGTTGCTATGAATGAGAATTGTGAAATAGTACTGGAGGATTGTTGCCACATGTGAATTTGGAATTAGCCTAGTCAAATATATTTTGATGTTTTTTTTTTTAAGCTGGAAAATTCAAGTGTTTGTGGAAACACCTCAATTTAAGTGTTACTCAATAATTCTGAATTCTGTAAAAGACAGTGAGCTAAGCATACATGTCTACAGACTTGATTTTGCCCAAGAGCCACTAGTTTGAGGCCTCTAGATTAGTAAAGTCTCCTGTTACTTTGAAATTGTCTATTTCTCTTTTCAAATCTGCTGAAGTTTGATTTATGTATTTTGGCACTCTTTCATTGGGTATATAAATATTTATTATGATTATATCCTATTGTTTGATTGGCCCTTTAATCATTATATAATGCCCTTGTTTTTTATGTTGGTTTTGCCTTAAAGTCTATTTTATTAGTAATTATGTTGCCCCTTCTGCTCTTTTTTGATTGTCATTTGCTTGATACGTATTTTTTCCCCAACCTTTAATTTTTCAGTCTGCTTTTGTTTTTGTGTCTAAGGTGTCTCTTTTGTAGATAACATATTGATGGGTCGTGTTTTCTTATCCATTCTATTGCTCTTTGTCTTTTGAATGGTGCATTTAATCCGTTTTCATTCAGTGTAATTATCAATAGGTTTGCATTTATTGTCATTTTCCTTTGTGTCTTTTTGTGGTGCTGCTGATTTCTTGGTTCCTTACAATTTTCTGTGCTGAATTCCTTGTTTTTTAACGATCTTCTTATCATTTCCTTCGTCACTGTTGTTTCAGTATTTACTAAATCTTTATGACTTTCTTATTGACTTTGATGAGATTTATTAATTTCCTTTGCAGATACCCTGTAATTTGTTATTTTCTTCCCAAGTTTAAAATAGTCTGTCTGTCTCAAAATCATCTTGATGACTTCTCCATTTGGAAGTTCTATACCTATATTATTTATTCCTTTTTTCTTTTTGCTTTTGCTTTGTAGTTGTTCGCATTAATTTTACTCTGGATACTTCGATATCAGGGTTGGTTCCTGGTGATGGTGTCATATGTGTTCATCTCAGTGTGTTGTCTGCTGTTGTTAGTTCTTTGTCCAAAGGACTCTCTTTAACACCTTTTGTAAGATTGTTCTGGTTTTGACAAATTCCCTAATTTTTGTTTATCTGTAAATGTCCTAATTTCACCATCATATGTGAGGGACACTTTTGCTAGCTATATAATTCTTAGTTGACAGTGTTTTTCTTTCAGGGTTTTATTTATGTCATCCCATTGCCTCCTCACCTATATGGTTTCTGCCAAGAAGTCAGAGCTTAGACTTACTGATTCTCCTTAGTGGGTAATTTTGTTTCTCCTGAGCTGTTTTTAAGATTCTTTCTTTGTCTTTGATTTTGGAAAGTTTGATTATGTTATGCCTTGGTCATTTTCTTTTGGGGTCTATCCTGTTTGGGGTTTGTTGAGCTTCTTAAAATTTGTGTCTTCTCGAACCTGTCATGACATTAGGGAATTTTCTTCCAACATATCTTCAACAGTTTTCTCTGTGCTTATATTTGTTCCTGTTCTGGAATTCCAATCACACATAAATTTGTTTTCCTTGATTTTGTCAGTATTTTCCTTGATGTTTCTCTCTATCCATTGAAGGCACCTAAATATAATTATTTTGAATTCTTTATCAGGTACAATGCCATTTCTTCCTCAAGGAGATTTTCAGGCTCTGTATTTCAGTCATTCTTTTGTGTCATTCTGCTTCTTTGTGTGAACTAAGGTTGTCTGTTGTCTCCAAGATATTGTGGTATTGTTGTATTTGTATTTAATTGGTGTTTATGTGTTTTGCCAGGTTGGTTTGTTTTTTTCTCCCACTTTATTTTATCTGAGCGAGTGGGGTGGGTGTGCTATTCTCCTTATTAGTTTGGCAGCTCTTAGGCTGTCCTTGGGGGTGTGATGGAGGATGGGACTGTGTACACAGTTCTCTGTCGGTTTGTGTAGAGCAAGAGGGCAGGTGGTGCTGGTGTTGGTCATCTATCATTGATCAGGTGATGCAGATGTGAGTAGTGGCCCTTGCTCCAGTATGTGGGGCTGCAGGAGTTGTGGACGTGGTGGGCAGCATGGGCATGGTTGCGGTCTCCTGCTTTCCTACATTTCTGGTTGTCAGCTACCAGTGTGGGCACCTTTGCAGTGTTGGGCAAGTGGAGCCCCATCATCAGAATGCTGTGCCAATCAGAACGGCACTTGCAAAAGTTCAGGATGGCTATGCTGTGTCAGCCCAGTTGGTAGTTCATAGCTCTGTTTGTCTCCTTGTTTGCTGTTTTCATCCAGTTTCTTTTTTCAGTTGATACTTGATCCACTTCTTTATCCTTTCCTTTGAAGCTCAGAGTTCTGGGATTATCTGTATCTGTTTCATTTGTTATCTTATATCTTTGTTGTAGAGGATCAGGTTAACTTGTCTGCCTGGTCCACCATCTTGCCAGAAATCCTGAGTTCTCTGTGTTATAATTACCTTGAGCCTTATCCCCATTTTCTGGCATAAAATCAGAACAGAATAAATGTTTGTTGAATAAATGAATGAGTGAACTTTATACATTATTACTTTGTTTTTGTTTCCTCAATAGGAAATTTTGTCTGTGGCAAAAAAAAATAAAAAGGAGAATGAGGTAAGAGATTTGTAATAGAATTTAAATTTGGGTGTTATATTTGCTTTCCAGATCACTAGTTAATTTTCTTTAATCACCATTGTACATTGTTCTCACCATTTATTTGCCTTTTTTCTTTTAAATCTATTTACTTCTTCTTGATCGTAACCTACTTTCTTATATATCAGTTTTTTAATTCATTGTGTATAATTTGATGTATGTGTACTAATGAATGGCTCCTTTTCTTGTGAGTCTAGAAACAATGCAAGTGTCTGTAACCATGTGGTTGTATACACTGAGACATCTGTGAGGAATCTGGAGGATCCCTTAAACATGTTTCTAAAAGATTTTCTTTGGTTCTGTTTGAGAAGTCTTGATTTTCTTTTTTTTCCATTTTATGTAGAGAGGTTCCTTGTTACCCACATACTCACTAGTCATGATCCTATAGTTAAAAGGGGAAGCAAAAGTAATCATAACACAAAACTATTTACTAGTAGAGGATGAACTTCAAGAATTGATTTATATATTATAGATTATAGCCCCTTGGGAACACTGATGAAAGATTATAAAATGGGAGATATTCTATTTGGATGTCATACAATTTTTCCAAAATTTGTGCCATAAAACTTCCTTGATTTTTATTCTTTGTTCCATCTATGAATTACTTCATGGTTACTTTAATAACCTAATTATGTTCTATAAAAATAGTAGATTAAGTAAGTTTATTTTTACAATACTTTGTTAACATTTTTAAAGGTAAAGTCTCTAATCTTCTACAACTATTTACTATGGAATTTGGCCTCATTTTAAGCAGATTCACTTTCAAGTTGTCCCATTTTTAATCAGATAATTAAGATCTCTATATTTGCAAAACTCTTGGGAACTCTCTTTATCCTCTTTATTTCATACTCTGAACGTCAGAGGATTTTCATTGAAAATGTGTTAGCCATTGTTTTTTTCTTTGTTTCAGTTTTTTAAAAATGTTAATGGGTTTTGCATAGTTCTTAAGTGTTCATTTTGACAAATGTATACACCTGTGTGACCACCATTCCATTAAAGGTATTGTATATTTCCATTTTTGAAGAATCTCTTTTACCCCTTTCTAGCCATTTCTTCGTTCCCACATTCAGAGGCAAATACTTTTTGACTTTCATAAATCCATTTTGCCTGTTCTGTTGAAATATAAGTCTTTTATTTCCTTCTTCATTTACTAAACATAATGCCTGATACTCATGTATATTGTTTGGTATTGTTTGTTTTTGCTAAGTAGTATTCCATTGAATGAATATTATAATTTACTCATTCTCTGATTGATGGGCTTTTGGCTTGTTTCCAGTTTATGACTGCTATGAATATTTGTGTACAAGTCTTTGGATGTATTTTCACATTTCTTGGGTATATAGATATATATATAGGAATTACTTGGCTATCTTGTAGATAGATATATGTTCAACTTTATGAGAAAGTGTAGATCTTTTTCCAAAGTGATGGCACCATTTTATTCTTTCACCAGCTGATTGTGTTTTTTTTAGTCATTGGTTTTAATTTCAGTTTTTCTAATTACTAGTGATATTGAACATAACTTCACGTTCTTCATGTTTGTATGCTTTATTTTGTAAAATATTTGTTTGTATCTTTTGACCATTTTATTTATTGGGTTGTTTTTCTATTATTGATATGTATGAATTCTTTATATAATCTGGATAAAAGTTACTTATCACATTTTTGTGTAGTATTTTCCCTGTGGCGTGCTTATTCATTTTCTTAGTGATACATATTTTATTGTGGTAAAATGTATATGTAAAAATGTACAGTTTAGTGACATTATATTTACTATATTGTGCTACCTATGCCTTTCTGAAAACTTGACACTCCAAGAGAAACTAAATATCCATTCAGTAGTAACATTTGTTCCTCCTCCCCAGAGCACCTCTTAGCTAGTAAGCTTTTGTCTCTACACATTTGCCTAATCTAGAAATTTTTTAAAGCAATTATCATATAAAATATTCCTTAATGATAACTTTTAATGAGAAGTTTAAAATTTTTTAAAACTTCGCTTTATTTTTTCTATTATAGTTAGTGCTTTTGTGTCTTTTATAAGAATTCTTTGCCTGTTGCAAAATTATTAATAAATTCTGTTTTCTTCTAAAAGTTTTATGGTTTTAAATTTTATGTTTAGGCCTATGATTCATAACACATTTTTTATGCAGGGGATGATAGGACTCAAAATTTACATTTTTTCACTTGAATATCTAGTTGTTCCAGGATCATTTTTAACTCTGTCTCTTTCCCTGTAATGAAAATAATTCTTAGATGAATATATTATTTTTTCCTTGGACATTATCTATTAAGATTGAGATGTGGGCCAAGAAAATGATTACTTAACAAATTTGAGGGTAGGACATTTTAGGAGTTGAATAGTTAGAAGAGGGGGACAATTCTAAAGGTCTTTCTAAAAGTGTGTATTTGCAGCCAGCTACCCAGAGGGAGCAAGTAGTTGGACCTGTGGGCTTGGGGCCGTGTCGCGGGGGATATCAGGCTCAATTGGCATAACATATTACATAAAACATTGTTCCACCTCCTACTTTGTTGAGTAGCGACTGGGATCTTAAAAGCTTGTAGGCAGCCATCTAGATGCAATGATGGGTCTCTCCTCATCCAGAGCAGAGAAGAATGAAGAAAACCAAAGATTCATGGAAAGAATTAGTCCAAGTGACTGGTCCACCATGTAATCCGCAGCCTATGTGACTATGAGACCAGAAGAACTAGATGGTGCCTGGCTACCACTGTCAGCCACTCCACTTGGAGGGGGAACCATGTAGGAGATCCTATATAGAGTGGAATAAAACTCAGAATCATTTGGGGGAAAAAAAAGGGGGGGACCAAGTTCGCTGGTCTGATAGTCTGATGGAACCACTGACTCTGTGGCCCCTAGCTGCCCTTCAGGTCTGGAATTAAACCCACTCCTGTGGCTTCCAGCCAAACAAAAGACAGGCATACGAGGTGAACATTTATAGTAGGTAGGTACACTCCTTGGAGAGAACAGTCATGGGAGAATAGAAGGGCTGTGTTTGCACAGGGAGACAACTCCAGGGTCAGGAGTGCATGGAGGGAAGGACATAGCATAGAGGTAACTATGGTGAGGAAGTGGGAGGGGAACTATTGCATTGTGGTATATTGTAGTCAATGTCAGGAGTCAAAGTGTATGTGAACTGCTTTATGTAAAGTGAATTTGCTCTGTAAATTTTCACCCTGATCACAATTTAAAAAAAAAAAAGCGTGTACCTGATGATGGTCTTAATGTGTAAGAGCTATTCTTAGAAAGAAAAAAATATTTAATAGCTTTTTATTTGTAGGGTAATGGAGGTAACTATAGAGTTTTATTCACTATATCATCTTATATCTCCATTTTTTGGACTTGGTAAGTTTTAAGTAGTAGTTAAATTTCTGATAAATTGAGGGTGTGGGAGGACCACATTATGGACCAAACTTCTAATTAAACTTCTTTTTTTTTAATAGGACAAAATCTCATCTTCCACTAATCTCTGCATAGAAGATCTTCAGAAAAATAAAGATTCAAATAGTCTTATTAAAGACAGATTATCTCAAACTGTTAGACAGAATACTAAATTCTTTTATGACCCAGTTCGGAAATGTAATGGACAGCCAATACCCTTTCAGCAGCCAAAGCATTTCACAGGAGGAGTAATGCGGTGGTATCAAGTAGAAGGCATGGAGTGGCTGAGGGTAATGAGTTGTCATTTTAAATATATTAGTTCATTTCTGTAATAATCTGTTAATGTGATATGCCACAATTTTAGTTATTCCTTCCATGTTTTACTTCTATATATAAAATAAACACTTGTGTGTAAATAACTTTTATCTTTTCTCTACTCAGAATAAATTTTTAGAGGTGAAAAATAATCTTTGATAAAGGACTTTACACAAGTGTTAGAATTTATGATTTTACCAGGAATATATGACTATGCCATTCCATCATAATTGTCATCTTTGGGTATAATTTTTATAAGAAAATAAACCATTGCTAATTTAATAAGTGTTTTTATTTAAGTTGAAATACAGTGTGTATTATTTTGTCCAGATGCTTTGGGAAAATGGTATTAATGGCATTTTAGCTGATGAGATGGGATTGGGAAAGACAGTTCAGTGCATTGCTACAGTTGCACTGATGATTGAGAGAGGAGTACCTGGACCTTTTCTTGTCTGTGGCCCTTTGTCTACACTTCCTAATTGGATGGCTGAATTCAAAAGATTTACACCAGAAGTAAGACATTTCTTTGTGTTAAAATACTGTTTTCACGTTTTACTCTGTTTTGCTAGAATCAAATAATAGATACCCTATTGTAATTATACTGATTTTTAATTATATTTCACCTAATATGACTTATCTTTTGATCTCAGCAGTACCCAGAGACTTTGCGTTTATATAGAGAATAGACGTTGGTAACCTATAGACGTTTTGCCAAAATTGTACTTAGATTTTTTGCAGTGCATGTGGATAATTTTATTCACCTGAGATAGAATTATGTAGAACTTTAAAAAGAGATTCTTTTTATTCTTTTATGATTTATTTTCTATACACCTTTATGTGTTGTCTACATCGATGCCTTATATGAATCAAATGATATTTCAGAAGTAACATCCCCATCTGCCTCCTTAATTGTAATTTGTTTTCTTTTCGTGACCTTTTTGTTTGTTTTCTCTCATTCGTCCAATGATTTGTTAAAATGGCTTGACTCATTTTGTTATAGAAAAATAGAAGTAAGATTAAGTTGTTGCCTTTATTTTATCAGAAAATGATGAGTTATCCTTTTTTTCCAAGTAGCTGATATTTATATTCTATTCTAGTTTGTTATAAATCAATATCAAATCTTCTAGATTCCTACTATGCTATATCATGGAACCCAGCAGGAACGTCGAAAATTGGTAAAAAGTATTTACAAACGGAAAGGAATACTGCAGATTCATCCTGTGGTAATCACGTCGTTTGAGATAGCTATGAGGGACCGAACTGCGTTACAGGTACAGATGGTCTTCACTGGTTTCTTTGCAATCTGTACATCATACTGTCTCACTGTCAGTAGCATTTGATTAATTTTTTTTCCCTGTTGGGATACACTGTACTATGCATATTCCTCTATGCTCATATTTACAGAAGATTGAGGTAAAGACTATAGTCTCTAACAATAAAATTAAGCCTTTGTCACTTAAACCAGGCATAGACCTGATCTGTAGATTTATTACAGATATGTCCGACACATGCTCTGAAGGTAGAATATTTGAAGACAGACATGTTTTAAGACTAGCTTGTGGAACTATGGGATAATGTTTCCATATCTACGTTTTGGATGTTGTATCTATTTTTCAGTGCCCAAGTTAAGACAGGAAAATTGACTTTTCTTCTCTCATTGCATCTCTCAATTGATGTTTTGAATTTCTTTTCTATGGCTCCACCTATTTCTGAGTTCTTTGCTACTTGATTTTTCCTTTAGCTGACTATGTGATGTTCCCTGCTGAGTGCAGTTTTCTATAGTTTTTCCTGCTTGAATGAAACCAGGAAAATAAATGAGTTCAGCATAAAGTCAAAACACACAGGTCATAAGTAGAATAAATGTAGCTTGCATAATCATTACCAGTATTTATCAAATTTTATTTGTGTCCTAGTGGGACTTTGAAGTATGACTTGTAGAAATCTTAGATTAGGAGGTTAACAAAGAATTTGTGAACATGTGTAAAATTCAAAAGTATTAAAACTATTTCTTTACAGTAAAAGTATACTGCTTATAGAAAAAAGGTAGTGAGCAGAATGATTTAAAAAAGCACCTGTAATTCTACCTCTGAAAAATAACTCCTGTTACTACATAGCTGTAATTTATACATAGGATCAAACATGTATTATCCAGTTTTCTACTCAATTATATATAGGAAGAACTTCTCCATTATTTTGCCCTTCCCACCCACCCAATTTGAAACATAAACTTTGTCAATTCCACTTGGCTGGCTAGAATATTGCTAGTTGTCCTTTTGGTTGAGCTTGTTACCATTTTTGAGGATCTTACTTTAGAAGGTGGTGGGACCATTGGTGGTGCAGGGTTTCTTCTGTTTTTGCATAGCAGCAGAAATATCTGAGCCCACTTAATTTGTGTTTCAGATTTTTCATTATTTCTAGTTCTTAGGTTTTACTCTTTTCTTTCACTTATTTATAAAGAATGTTTTAAATTCATTTCTGACCTCAGCAATGTATTGTAGTGAGAGATTGTTCAAGTTATTGGTTTGTTCGAGTTCCAGAAAAATAAGTTTTTTCCAAATCGTTTTCTTTTTTTCTTATTAGGATTTGGGTGAAGATTTACAGAGTAAATTCACTTTTTATACAGCAGTTCACATATACTTTGTCTCATGTCATTGACCAAAATTTACAATGCAGCAGCTCCCCTCCCACTTCCTCCCCATAGTTACCTCCTCCCAGTGTCCATCCCTTCATACTCTTCTGCACCCTGAGCTATCTCCCTGTGCATAAGCAGCCCTTCCTTCTCCCATGATTGTTCTCTCCAGGGCGTGTGTCTACTTGAGGTAAATGTTTAACTCACATGCCTGTACTTTGTTTGGCTGGAAACCACAGTTGTGGGTTCAATTCCAGACCTGAAGGGCAGCTAGGGGCCATAGTCTCAGTGGTTACACCAGGCTCTATTGGACCAGCAAACCTGGTCCCCACCTTCTTTTTTTTTTTTGCCTCCAAATGCCAAATCGTTTTCTTTTATTATGAAGTCATATGTATTATTTAAAAAAAAAATCATTCCACATAAGAATGTATGGAGTAAAATGCAAAACATGCCCTATTTAATACTCTGCCCATTTTGCGAGTCCCATTTCCCAGGGATACGAACGTATTATTACCACTTTGGTGTATTTATTTCCAAAAATACTATATAATTCTGTACTTTACACAATAAGATATGTAAACTGTAAGTTTGCCTGATCCAAGGTAAAGAGAGAAAGCAGATACTCATAGGAGAAATTAAAACAATTTTCATAATAACTTCATGAAAAGAAATGATGGCTTTCTATGAAAATGTAAATCCTAAAATCAGCTCCAGAAGAAAGGGAAACCTAAGCAAATGTATATATTATATAAGAAATTGAGAAAGTCATCAGATAAAAAGAGTTTCAATTTCAGTTATAGCTTTCAAGAATAAAAGTTTCAAAGCATTTGGAGCTAATGAAGCTTATAATTCATTTTTTTGTTTTAGGAAGCTAGCATAAAAATAATATCAATAGTTGACAAAGCACTACAAGGGAAGCTACAGACTGCTTTGTTTAAAGCATGTGAATAGAGAAATCTTAAATACAGATGGATTCTAAGTATTTCATGAGCTCGTAGGATATATAAGGAGCTCTGCTGGTGTGGTGGTTAAGACACTTGACTGCTCACCGGAAGACCAGTGGTTCAAACCCACCAGCAGCTCTGTGTAAAGAAGACGGGGCGATCTGCTTCCATAAAGATTTACACCCTCATAAACCTGATGGAGGTCGCTATGAGTCAGAAACAGCTCAATGGCATAGAGTTTGTTTAGTAAAGTCTGTTTCAGGATTACTATATAAATCAGTTATTGTCATCAAATTGCTTCCTACTCGTAGTGACACTGTGTAAGCAGAACAAGACTCTGCCTAGTCCTATGCTATCATTGCTATTTGACCCCATTGTTAGAGCCACTGTGTCAGTCCATCTTGTTGAGGATCTTTCTGTTTCTTACTGACCTTTTACTTTACCAAGCATGATGTCCTTCTCCAGGGACTGGTGCCTTCTAATAACATGTCCAGAGTATTTGAGACAAAGTTGCCATCTGCTCTTCTAAGGAGCATTCTGGCTTCCAAGACAGAGTCATTTGTGTTTCTGGAAGTCCATGGTATAGTTAATATTTCTTGCCAACACCATAATTCAAAGGTGTCAATTCTTCTTTAATCTTACTTATTCTTGTACAGCTTTCACATTCATATGAGGTGACTGAAAATACCATGGCTTGGGTCAGGTGCACCTTAGTCCTCAAAGTAACATCTTTGGTTTTTAAAACATAAAGAGGTTTTTTGCAACAGATTAGCCCAGTGTAATACAATGTCTCATTTCTTGACTTCTGCTTCCATGGATGTTGGTTGTAGATCCAAATTAAATGAAATCCTTCACAAGTTCAGTCTTTTCTCTGTTTATCATGATATTGCTTATTGATCCAGTTGTGAAGATTTTTGTTTTTTTATGTTGAAGGATAATGTGTACTGAAGGCTGTTAGTCAACCAGTATAATAGTTATTGGGAATCTATTCATTTTTCCTGTTGATGGATCAAAGGAAAATAATTAACCTCAGTAGATTCTGAAATATTTTCTATAATTCAGCATCTAACCCTAATAAAGAACAGAAGTTTTATTTTCAAAAATTATTTTAGGCAAAATTATGAGATCATTATATTTAAATTCTTTCCTTAATTTGTTTTTTTAGCATTGCTATTGGAAATACTTAATAGTAGATGAAGGACACAGGATTAAGAACATGAAGTGCCGTCTTATCAGGGAGTTAAAACGATTCAATGCTGATAACAAACTTCTTTTGACTGGTACTCCCTTGCAAAACAACTTATCAGAACTTTGGTCATTGCTAAACTTTTTGTTGCCAGATGTATTTGATGACTTGAAAAGGTAGGTAGCCTTTTATTTAACTGTTGCTATATTTTTCTGACTTTCTTAAAATGTTTCTGTTCAAAAGTAAGTTTCTCTTAATTATAATTAATTCCTTTTTTCTAGGCAGATGAATTAAAATGATAGATTTTTAGCAAGTTCTTGTCAAATACATATTCTTTTGAAAAATTAGATGAGAACAGATAAAGATTATCATGTTTTTATTTGCATTGATTAATTAAAGAAAAACTGTTGAATGTTCCTTCAGAAAACAATATGATGATAAGCCTTTTTGATTTCCTTAATCTTTCAAAACACTTTCAGATGAATTTTTCTCACTTTATCTTCACAAAACAAACCAGATGTATAGATAGGTTAGTTATATCCCATATCTCAGGAAACTGAGATGTAAAGTTGTTATAATATATAACTGATAAGTGCCAGAACCAAAATTATATCCAGGTTTCAATCTAGTTTTATTTTTATAATGGCAGTTGTGATTTAATCTTTATTATAAAAACAAAGAAATAAAAAAGGTTTTTGAAAATAAATAAGGTCAGAAGGGAGAAAGAGATAATCTTAGCAGAAGTGAAATAATTAAGAAGGAAAAATGATCAAAATCAAGAGATCAGAAGAATTGACTTATTCTTTTTTTGGCATCAAAGAAGGAAGAAAGCTAATTTGGATACAAGAAAGTAACTTTTAATGTCTTAACTCAAAAATATATTCCAGTGCTGGTTCCCAGATGCTGACTCAAGGCCAGTTTGCCTTATTTATTGTAACTGGGAGTGCTTTTATTAAAGGACAGGATTTCTAGGTCATATCCCAGACTAATGAGTTAGAATTTTGAGTCAGGAACTAGGAATCTGAAATTTTTAAAAAATATGATTTAGATGAATCTGATGTGCAAATTTGGGGATATTTGGTTTATCTACTGACATAAATGTTGTTTATTTTTTGCCATTGGATTTGTTGAAAACTGGTGGTGTAGTGCCTACGGCATTTGACTGCTAACCAGAAGGCTGGCGGTTCAAACCCACCAGCCACTCCTCAGAAGGAAAACTGGGCAATCTACTGCCATAGAGATACTGCCTCGGAAACTCAAGGAGGGGTCGGTATGAGTTGGGATTGGCTTGATAGCAGTGAGTTTGGTTGTTTTTGTTTTTAAAATATATACTAGAAATCCCTGGGTGGTACAAACAGTTAATGTGATTGGTTGCTAACTGAATGGTAGGCAATTTGGGTCTACCCAGAGGCATCTTGGAAGAAAGACCTGACTATCTACTTCTGAAAAAAGATTGAAAACCTGATGGAACACAGTACTACTCTGTCTGACATGGGATCACTGAAATTGCAGTCATCAGTGGGTTTAGTTTGGTTTACAATAGACTGTCCTGCATCGTTATATTTAATTGTTCATTTTAATAGTTCTTCTTTAATTGGGAAGTAATTAAAGATGCATAGATGTTTTATCAAGCTATGTATATGTTGAATTTTAAAAATGTATGGATGGTAAGTCATACTTACAGATCATGGGGCCTTGGTTTTCATGGACAGTTATCATCTCTACCTTAGTGTCTATTTGGTGGTGTAGTGCCTAAGGCACTTGAGTGCTAACCAGAAGGCTGGCAGTTAAAGCCCACCCACCAGCCACTCCTCAGAAGGAAAATTAGTCAGTCTACTTCCATAGAGATACCACCTTGGAAACCCAAGGAAGGGTTCCTGTGAGTCGAATTGACTCGATGGGAGTGATTTTTTTTTTTTTTTTTTGTAAGAATATGTTAATATATTTTCATATGAGTAAAATGTTCCTTTTAAGATCACAATCCTTGATTGTCTAAAAAATATACTGTCTTTGAATAAAATTCATTTAAATAATTGAATTTGATGATTGTATACAGTAGTATCTGTGCTTCATAATAAACAGATTAGTATAAAACTAAAAATTTAAAACATATGTCATTTTAATATAATTGAAGTTATGTCCTAAGTTAATGAGAAATGTTTTACTGTTTTTTTTTCCCCCTTTTCCAGCTTTGAGTCTTGGTTTGATATCACTAGTCTTTCTGAAACTGCTGAGGATATTATTGCTAAAGAAAGAGAACAGAACGTATTGCATATGCTGCACCAGGTTTTGACTTTTTCTTATTCTTCTGCTTACTGTAGGTTTATAGACTCAAAAGAATCAGTGTTCGTCTTAGGATAGAGATTATCTATGCAACCCTTTTGTAGTAGAGATTTGAAAACCGAGGACCTCAAATTTAACTGATTGTCCTTTCCCTCCTCTCCCAGAGATGGCTTTATGGCAGAACTCAGGTGCTTGTCCAGATAATACCCTCTCGTGTATAGCCATTTTCTCCCTAATGGTTACTATTTATGTTTGTAAGCCAAAAAAATGAAATGTGGTTCTTATGTAATGTTTGACAATAATACTTGTGTAATTTACTTCCTTGTACAGCTAGTGTGTAATCAGTTATTTTTTATATACTTCTTGCTCTGGAATCCCCCCCACGCGCATCCAGCATTACTTTAAACAAATACAGTCTTTCAAAGTATCTTAGACATTTTTGTATGTGGGTCTCAAAAGGTCCTCCATTATATTCTGACAATATTATTCAAAATTTTACATTTTTTTTCTGATTTTTAATTTTTATGTACTCATGATAAAATGTTAAACACCATGGGAATGAAAAGTAAAAATCATTATTTCTTTCCCTAAATCATACTCATTAGCAAATATACTGAATGGTGATTGTTTCTTATATATCCTCCCATGCTATTAAACGTACAACATGTATTTTATGAGGGAAATGTTTTGTTTTATTTTTTAAGTAAAACTGTTCCTTAAAGTAGCCTTTTTGTAAGTAAGTAAGTAAGTAAATAAGTAAGTAAGTAAATAAATAAATAAATAAATAAAAATTATTTTCTTCATACATGTAGATTTAACTTAACAGTTTTTTAATAGTTGCTTCATGTCTCATTATATTATCATAATATAATTAATTTTATCAGTCTCTTGCTATTTAAATATTTTCCCCTATTAACAAAGTTGTATCTATACCTATAACTGTATCTTTGCCCATTTCTGGTTATTTGTTTTGTTTTGTTTTGTGAAAACATTTGCCACCATAACAACTTCCACATTTATAGCTCAGGGACATTGATGACATTTTTCATGTTGTGCCACCATTGTTCATTTCTGGTTATTTCTTTAGAAAAGAATTCCTGCAGGGAGAATTTCAAGTCACAAC